CTATACATTGTTGCCGTTGAGCGTCTCGGCTGCAACATTCAGCTCCCTGCGCTCCTCTGGCTCCCTGGCAAAGGATGTCAGAACAGACACCCATGGATCCTCTGGAAGGTCTGCATCCTGGACCGCTGCACCTGGCTGGTTGGTACCATCCTCGCCTCCTTCCTCGTCATCTCCAGGGCCCTCCTCGTCGTTTGCAGGTCCTTCCTCGTCACCGGGACGTCCCTCTTCGTCATCTGCACGTCCTTCCTCGTCATCATCGTCGACAGCATAGGAGAGTTCCTCAGAAGGGCGATAGGGCTTCAGGTGATTCAAATGGGCCTTCAGTTGAACTCCTGTGTCCAAGTTCAGTACTTCGAAGGAAACTGGCCCTAAGCGTCTGATGACTCGAGCTGGTCCACGCCATTTACCACTGAGAGGGGGTAGTCCACCCATACGACTCTTGTGTTCATAGTACCAGACAAGGGATCCCTCTGTAGGCTGGAACACTATCTTTTTGCCTCGGTCGTAGTATCTTCCATAAATCTGCCTTGCTTGTCTGGAAGCTTCTACCGCTGCTTGACGAGCTTCTTGTAGTCGTCCCTGTAAATTGAGATTCTCTGCAAATATGGCTTCATTGGTGAGACCCACAGGAAAATTTGCGTGACGCCCAGTCAGGAGGTAGATTGGCTGTTCCCCAGTAGTACGATGTATGCAGAATTAATCTGGAGCCGAAGTTCTGGGACAAACTGATGCCATACTCTTGACGGTTTGCCGACTAAGGTAGTAAGGGCAGCTTTCACTACACGGTTTGTCCGTTCCACCATTCCATTGGCCTGAGGATGGTATCGAATGGTGTAATGATTCGTGGCATGCATCATTTTTGTTAGTTCTCTGAAGATGTTGCTGGTGAACTGTATCCCATTATCTGTTTGGATCACCCTGGGAGGTCCAAAGAGGGTAACCCAATGATCCATAAAGGCCGAATGGACAGCTGCAGCAGTAGCCTTCCTCAGTGGAACAATCTGCAGGAAACGGGAGTGCTGATCCAGGATCGACAGGGCCCAGCGAACTGGAATGGATGGACCAAAGTCCATTAGGTCCATAGATACCCGTTCCAAGGGAAATTCTGCTAATGGTGTATCAGCCATTGGAACCTTCTGCATGCTGCCTCTTGACTGCTGGCAGATCAGGCAACTGTCAACATACTGCCTAACATCTCGCAGCATATTAGGCCAATAAAACATTGCCCTAGCATTCTGGAAAGTACGATGGATGCCTGGATGTGATGCTAAGGTGGAAGATGAGATGCCTTGAGAGCAGAATTCCTAAGCTTCTGGGGAACAAACAGCTGGTAGCATATGCGGTCTGGGAAGTGCTTCAGCCTATAGACCACATTATCCTTAAGTTCAAATTCGCAGAGAGGAAGGGGTAACTTCTTTTTTGGGCAAAGTCCCTTCCACTAGATATTTGCGAACATCACTCAGTAGAGGGTCAGCTTCCTGTTCTGCAGCAAGTCTCTCTGGAGAGAGGTCAGTGATGGTGAGCTTAGCAACTTGTCGTGAAAGCAGGTCTGGTACATGGTTGGTAGGACCTCCTTGTATCGTATATTGAAATCATAGAATGACAGGTCATGTGCAAACCTAGTCATCCTGGGAGACTTAGTTTTTCTGGAGAAAATGTAAACCAGTGGGCGATGGTCAGTGTAGACAGTGAAGTGCCTCCCATAGAGGTACGAGTCAAATACCCGAACCCCTTCAACCACTGCAAGGGCTTCCAAATCTGGCAGGATAGCGGGTCTCAGCATCCCTCAACTTCCTGCTGTAATAAGCAATGGCGTACGGCGTGTTGTGCACATCTCTCTGCATCAAGCAAGCACCAAGGGCTACACTGGAAGCATCAGTATGTAGCTCAAAGTCTCTTGAAAAATCTGGCTGCCTCAAGACTGGTGCAGTTGTGAGGCGCAGCTTGAGTTCTTCAAAAGCGGACTGTTGTTCGGCCCCCAGATCCATTTCTGCCCTTTCTTTAAGAGTAGATGCAGTGGTGATGCGACCGTTGCATAATCAGGAATATGCTTCCGATAGAACCCAGTGGCTCCTAGAAACCTGCGTACCTCCCTCACAGTGCGTGGTGCAGGAGTCTTGGATATAGCAGTTACCTTTTCTTGGTTGGGAGACACTCCTCCTGGTGAGATAGTGAAGCCCAGGAAGTCAATAGTACTGGCAGCAAATTGACACTTCTGTGGGTTAAGCTTAAGACCAGCAGAAGAAAGAAGCTGTAAGGTCTCGGCGAGGTGCTGGAGATGTTGAGTAAAACCTCGGCTGTAGATGATCACATCATCGAGGTATGCCAATGTATGCCGTCCAAGTACTGGTGCCAGAACAATGTTCATTGTTCTCTGAAATGTTGTAGGAGCTGTGGATAGACCGAAGGGGAGTCGACAGAACTGAAATAAGCGGTACCCATCGGAAAAAGCAGTTTTGGGTCGATCCGTTGTCTCCAGTTCAACACTCCAATATGCAGCTCGAGCATCTAGTGTGGTAAACGTGTCCATTGGGCCTAACTCATCAATCAGCTCATTGATGCGGGGTAGAGGATAAGCATCTTTCTTCGTTACAGCATTGAGACCTCGATAGTCCACACAGAACCTTAGACCACCTCCTTTCTTCTTCACAAGCACTACTGGACTTAGCCAGGGTGACGTGGAGGGCTCAATGACTCCAGCATCCAACATTGAATCACACTGGTCTCTGATGGCTTGTCGGGTTGATTGCGGCAGTCTCCATTGCCGGATACTGACTGGTTTGGCGTCACCAGTGTCAATCTTGTGGCTAATTCCAGGTACAAGTCCACGGTTTCTTCTCCTCCTTCAAAAAGTTCTTTGTGCTGGTTCAGGAGTTCAGTTAGCTGGTGTTGTGATTTGGTATCCAGATGGGAAAGATCTGGTACAAGACTGCTCTCATCAGGTAGCGGAGATGAGAGAAGTTGTTCAGCTGCTTCACAAGCAGCAATGGCAAGTGAGGGCGGTAGCTCTGCCTGCTCGACCTCAGCATCACTGTCGTCGAAGTCTTCATAGAGGAGAGTATCAGCAAAATCCTCCCAAATGAAATCCTCTTCCTCCCACTCAAATTCAGTGTCCTTGTCTTCGCCTTGGGAATCTGTGTTGGCAAGATTGTTAGAGCTCAGGATTCTGGAAGAATCCTCTACCTCTTCGCTGAAATCGTCACTGGAAGGGCGTGCCTGAGCCCTCAGAGAGGATGCCTTATCCTCAGGAACTTCAATTGCTGGAGAGTCTGTCTTGACAGGGCATACATCTGACCTGGCAAGGACGGTCTTGCTTTGCTCTGTAAGTGGAGGCTTACTTTTGGCTGTGAAAAGCGCTTCCACTGATGCTACGGTGCCTAACCGTGTTCCGCCATGGAGTATTAGGGTCTTAGGGGTAGGGTTTACTGCCCACACAAAACAGCAGCGATCCTTGACTGTTGTCAATGAAGGAAGAATGAGGTTTCCAGTTGTCGTAGGGGTTACAATCACATCACCATCTCTTGGACCTGCTCGGGCGATCGGCTATCCAGAAAGCACCCAGTATGTGGAGGAACATCTGTACGAGCAGTGAGGTGAACAGCAATCCCAGGTGAATGCTTGTGGTCCTGTGTTGGAAGCATCTCTGTACTGAACTCAGCTGGTGTTTCTGGGTTTGAAGCTGTGGTAGAGATGACACGAACATGAAGAGATTCGACATCAGTGTACACAACTGAGAATGGTCTTCCTTCCAGAGAAAGACAGCTACTGGTGGTGTTGGGGTCATGCGTGAGGGAGAAGTCCAGTCTTCGAAGAAAATCCATCCCCAGGAGTATATCCCCAGGATAAGTGACATCTACTAGCGTAACTTGGTGAGGAATAAACAGGTCATCATCCAGCTGGAAATGCAGGGTCACTTCTGATGTGGTTGCCAGTGGTTGTCCTGTCACACCCCGCAGTAATTTAGATCTGATGCGTCGAAGGTTGTTCTGGGGATCAAGTCGTCTTAGAATGCTAGGTCTAATCAGGTGGCCTCGGATCCAGTATCCAGAAAACACAGCACAGTCTGGTCATTAGCTCTGAGTGCCACGAGAGGCCGTCCTGATGGTCCGGTGGCATTCACTGTTGAGACCGATATTGAAGTGTGAGTCTGCGTTCCAGTTGTTATTGCTCCTGGCGCGCTTCGCCAGAGAGGTTGGGAGCTCTACCATCCTGGCTGGTCGGAAAGGGGCAGTCTTTGGCTAGGTGTCCCGGGCGTCGACATCGGAAACATATCAGGCTTTCTAGGCTGTTGCAGGTTTCTTGTTAAAGGAGCAGCGGCAGCTCGACACTCAGAAGTATTGTGTGTAATACTCTTGTGGTGCTCACACCAGTACCGATGCTCTGGAACAGGTGTGATGGTGATTCAGCCACAGGAAGCATAAACATCCCGTGATCGAGGTGGACGCTCAGGGAAGCGATGATGATCACCAAGATCATCCATGGACATCTGACGTGAAGGCGTGGTCCCATGCTGAATACCATTCCGGGAGTTCCATATGCGCTGTGCAGCTTCAGCGAGTTGCATGGGTGAGCCTTCATCCCTTACTGCTAGAAAATCTCGGAGCAAGATGGTAGCCCAGACAGGAAGACACGGCGATGAGCTCAGAGGGATCTCCAATGGCCTCTCTATGGTCGCGGTATCCCTGGTAAACTGAACCTTCTAGTTGGATGTAAAAGTCCATAGGGGCTTGGCCAGCAACCATCTTGTTCTCGTAGAGCACCTTGAAGAAATCAGAAGATGTGTAGGTACCTCGGAACTTTGCACGAAGCGAAGCCTTGAAGATCCAATCTCGGATGCCA